CTATGGGAGGTTCTACCCCTGAGCTACATACATTACCAGCCCTTTTTAGTTTTTGAGAGGCCTAGGCTGGCCCTTATCTAGTGATCCTCTTGCCTCAGCCTCCTGAATCACTAGGATTATAGGCACATTTGGCAAAACATATTATCTTGCTCTGATTTTTTTTTTTTTTTTTTTTGCAGAGGGATAGGTACCAGGGCACTGGACCACTGAGCCACATCCCCAGCCCTGTTTTGTATTTTATTTAGASACAGGGTCTCACTGAATTGCTTAGTGCCTTGCTTTTGCTGAGGCTGGCTTTGAACTCGTGAACCTCTTGCCTCARCCTCCCAAGCGGCTGGATTACAGGTGTGTGCCACTGCACCCAGCTTGCTGTGATTTAAATTTATACTTTGACAGTGAGGATGGGCATCTATATTTTAATCTATGAACTAGTAGTTATAAAGCTTGGAAAATAGTAGGTTTGTCCAGTCTGTGAATTGGCCACTTTTTGTATTTGGTTGTTGGTCTTTTTTTCCTAGATATTTATCAGAGCTCTTTTCACATTAATAAAATTAGCAATTTGTCAGTCTCCTACTGCAAATATTTCCTTACAGTTTGTCCTGCATCTTTTGACTTTGCTTATGGTATTTTTTGAGTATGTGGATTTTTTTTTGCCCTTTCCTTTGTTTCATGCCTTAATTAAAAGGCTGATGTCCCCCATTCCAGGGGGATATGGATGAGCTTCATGTTGGGAACTCTGACTAAAGGAGGCAAAGCCACCCTGTGCTCCTCTCACCTTTACTTTCTTGCCGTCAATCTCCAGGGAGCGCACGGTGAAGTCCACCCCGATGGTGTTCTGCTGTGTCTCAGTGTAGACCCCAGATTTGAAATGCTGAACCACACATGTCTTCCCCACATTGGAATCCCCAATGAGGATAACTTTGAACAAATAGTCAAAGTTCTCATCTGCTGCCCTGGCTGAGCTGTAGAACTGCATGACTCTGATCACCTGGAATAGACCTAAGAAAAGAAGGGATTCAGCTTCTCTCTAGTGGGCACCCACCAGGCACCAGGCACTGGACACCCAGCAGAAGACAAGACAGAGGGCCATGGTGGCTTTCACAGCTCAAACATTCTCGTGGGCGTGGGATGCTAATGATGGCAGTACCAGACTTCCCACAAGTCCATACCTTCACCATGTGTTGACAGTGCTTTAGGGGTGCCCTCAGAATGACAAGGTACGGCTGTCATTCTCTGGTGGATGGAGAATGCCTGTTCTCCAATCACAGCATTGAGGAAAGCCTAGTCCAGGAGACAAGGTGCCCCAGGGGCCATCAGAGAGCAAGATGGCAGAGGAAGTGCCCCCAGGAGTGACTTCCCTGCCATTAATCGGGTGGAGGACATGTGTATGTCAGTTTCACTTTGGGGAGAAGCCTCCCAACTACCAGAGGACTTGCTGCCCAGGAAGCCTGAGACAGGACTGAGGATGTYTGACCGGGAGTTACTTCAGGGTCAGTTCAGGGAAGAATGATGTGGCCTATTTACTGATTGATTCAYTTACTTTGGTATTGGGGATTGAATCCCGGGGCGCTTTACCTATGAATTACATTCCCAGCCCTTTTTATTTGTTATTTGAGACAGGGTATAGCTAAGTTGCTTAAGGACTTGCTAAATTGCTGAGGATGGCCTTGAATTTGGAATCCTCCTGTCTCAGTCGCCTGAGTCACTGGGATTACAGGTGTGTGCCACCATGCCCAGCTAGTTTAAAAGTGTTTAATGGTAGTGTTTCCCCAAACTAACTGATTATCAGATTTACCTGGGAAGATAATTAAAACATATGTATTCCCAGAACCCATCCCAGATCCATTATATACACTTTAAAACTAAAAAAACAAAAACAGAACCATACACATACACACTCCCCAGATGAGTCTGATGACAAGCCAGGTTTGGGGAACGAACACTCGTTAACACAAGCAATCACCTGAAACTTTATTCTCACCTTTCATATCGCTGTCACTACCTCCTGAAAATGACCCATTGGGCAGCTCTGACTTCTGCRGGGTTGAAACCCATTTCCTTGGATTTCAGTCTGTCAACCCCAGAGTTACCTCTGCTGTGCCAAAACATGTCACATTCCTGTTCCACATGACAGCTCATCAAACACTTGTAGCAGAAAGCTATTCCCTCAAGGTAAACAGCCTTTAACTGTCCTTTATATGATACTGTGTTAGGTCTCCTCATCAGATATCTCATGAAAGTAAATGAAACCTTATCCTATTTGATGATAAAATTTGATGTGCTAAAAAAGTTTCTGCATTGACACCCTTCTTCATTTTCCCCTGATTCATTCTTTTCTCTAACGTTATGGAAAAACCAAGTCTAGCTAGGCACCTGGCGCATGCCTGTAATCCCAGAGGGTCAGGAGGATCACAAGTTCAAAGCCAGCCTCAGAAACTTAGTGAGATCCTGCCTCAACAGAAAAAAAATAAAATGGGCTGGGGATGTGGCTCAGTGGTTGAGCGCCCTGGGTTCAATCCAAAGTACAAAAAAAAAAAAAAAAAAATCCCAGTCTATATCATCACAAAAATATCCAGTCTGTATGTAAATATGTAAAACCCAGGGTTTTAAAGGAATCAAAAAGAGCCATATCTTTCTTGGATGCCTCAGATATCACATAAACCACTTTTTTTTTTTTTTATTTCCCTCTGACTTTTCAACTAAGAAAGCCATTCCACTTCCGGTCTCATCACTTGAACTTGAGCTGAAACCTTATTTTCATGTCCCTCCTTCCCTTTCCCCTGTAAGCCCCCAGGGTTTCCACCAAAGCCCTCTGCTCCACAAGGAGAAACCGAGCCACCCCTTAGCTCACATCCTGCACCTTTACCTTCCTGGCTCACCTGTGGCTTACCTGTCTCCCTCTCTCACCTGTGCTAGCCAGAGGTAATGCTGTCTTCTCCTGGTTTCCTTTGCAGCCCTCGGTGCCCCTTCTTCCTCCTGCCTCGCTGCGTGGTGGGAACTGTAGTTCTGGCCCCAGGTATCAGGTTGTGTGGCCTGAGAAAGTGAAAGGAAAGCAAACACAGTCCCTCCCACCTGCCCCAAGCCACCTCAGCCACGGAGCCCCAGGCGAGGCGCTGGAGCACCGGGAGCCAGCTCCCCTCCAGCARCCACGCTGCCCCTGCTCCTGTTGCTCACTGTCTTTCCTGCACCTGGCATCTGTCATTTCYCCTGGTGTCCCCTGTTTGGCTGGGCTGGGGGTTGTTAGAAGGATAATGAGTCTTAAGTGACTTAATTGCTTTGTCGATTTGAAAAGCTCTTTTTGAGAAGTCCCAGAGAGAGARGAAGCGAGCAAAGAGGAGGTGAAAAAAAGGACTTTGAAGGTGTGTGTGGAGACAGAACGGAACAAAAGTCTCATCTCACTCCCAAATTCCACCACTCAGTGAMGGTTAATCTCTAGGTCTTGGAAAACCTCAAACCTGCAGTTCTGAAGGCTGGTGGTAGATGCGTAGAGCTGAGATGGATTTCTCCTTCTATTCCCCACAGAGTCTAGAATACTAACGGCTTCTAGCATAAGGACTAGGTGATCTGGGAGGCTGAGGTAGGAGGATCTCAAGTTGGAGACCTGCCTTAGGAACTTAATGAGACTCTAAGCAATTTAGCAAGACCCTGTCTCAAAATAAAAATAAAGAAGGGCTGAAAATGTAGCTCTGTGGTAAAACCTCGGGTTCACTCCCCAGTCCAAACAAAACAAAACAAAAAAGCAAACCAAAACCCCCCAGATTTTCTACATGAGGTAGGTAGAGGGCTGTATACCTACATATATGTAGGGTAATGTGTATTGCTGTTAAATAGCACCAGGAGCAAAAGAGAATCGGAAACATCCCGATTGATAAAATACTGAAATTGGCATAGTGTTTTCTAGGAAAGAGTCCCAAAATCAACTTGAGGAGGTTGCAACCAGCAGTTTTACAAGAAGAGGTTGGGGGGAAATTCAGAATGTACATAATTTAATAATGGTAAATATTGCTTTAGAAAATGTTTGGGTCAGTTGTATACATGCAGTTGTATATACTGGGAATGAGGTAAAATGTTCTTTCTTGGGCTGGGGATATAGCTCGGTAGAGTGCTTGCCTTGCATGCACAAGGCCCAGCACCCCTTCCCCCCCTAAAAAAAATTCTTTCTTTTTTTTCTTGCCCGTGGTGGCGGGGGCGGGAGGTGTCACTGTTGATTTAACCCAGGAGTGCTCTACTACTGAGCCACAACTCCAGCCCCTTGTTTTCCTTCTCACATTTTAAAAAAATTGGTGTCTTCTTGTTGAACATACTGATGGGATTTGTTATATATTCCTACATGCACACAATGATAAAACAGCATCATTTGGCCATTATTACTCCTCAGCATTTCCTCCTCTCATTACATCTTCCACCCCTTGTTCCAGCCCTTTTTAAAAATTTTTATTTTGAGGGCTGGGGATATAGCTCAGTTGATAGAATGCATGCCTCACATGCATAAGGCCCTGGGTTCAATCCCCAGCACCACAAAAGAAAAAAAGTTTTTTGAGATAGGGTCTCACTAAAGTTTCTGAGGCTGGCCTCAAACTTGCAATCCTCCTGCCTAAGCCTCCTGAATCGATAGGATTACAGACACCACTATGCTGCTGGCAGGTAGAGCAAGAAAACAAACAAAAAAGACACTGCCAAATGCTGCTCTGCTCTGTGGACTGCTGCTTTTTTTTTTTTTTTTTGGTGCTGGGGACAGAACCCAGGGCCTAGTACACGCAAGGCAAGCACTCTACCAACTGAGTTATATCCCCAGCCCTGGGGTGCTGCTTTGAGAGCCACCATGGCATGTCCTCAACTTGGAAATCAAATGTAGGTCAGGATCTGCCACAAAAGCACCGGCTGGGGCAGGAAGTAGACTTGGTGTCTGTGTCAAGGAGGTCAGGTGCAAAATATTGTATTTCCTCTGGTAATGGTTATGGTTACAAAGTAAGTCAGCTGACAGATCCAGCACTCAGAGAGCACCCAGAGGTAGGAATCAAATGTTAAAAATGTCCAGGTGATTAAAAAAATTAAGTCCAGAGATACTGTCTCTCCCTGTCCAACCCTCTCCCCCAAGTTGAAAGGGCATTGTGTGGGCTATGGGGAAATTAAGTATTTTTGCCGTGGGTGGAAGTAACAGAGGTTGTGCACTTGTTATCCATGCATAAACATAATCACATGTGCATGTATATATACAAAGAAATGCACAAATATGTACACATATATACCACATATTTCACTTTTTTTTTTTTTTTTTTTTTACTATTTTCACTTTTTTTTGTGTGTATGTGATACTGGAGGTTGAATCCTGGGACTCAAACGTTAGGCAAGTGCTCTACTATTCAGATATATATATTAAGAACTGCATTTCTGGGGCTGTGATTGTGGCTCAGCGGTAGAGCGGTCCCCTAGCACGGGTGGGGCCCGGGTTTGATCCTCAGCACCACATTAAAAAATAAATAAGGGGCTGGGGATGTGGCTCAAGCGGTAGCGCGCTCGCCTGGCATGCGTGCGGCCCGGTTCGATCCTCAGCACCACAAACAAACAAAGATGTTGTGTCCGCCAAGAACTAAAAATAAATAAATATTTAAAAAAAAAATAAATAAATAAAATAAAATAAAATAAAGGTATTGTGTTGTGTCCATCTACACCTAAAAGAATATCAACTTCATTTCCCCAACAGTTGAAAGCCCCCAGGAGGCAGCGCACCTTTGCCTTTATTTGCCTAAAGGGACCCTTGCTCGGAGTTCTGTTGTCAGGCTTTAACTTTGCTGAAGGCTACATTGATGTTATTAGGGCAGATGGGGCGTGGTGCAAACAAAACTGTGTATGATACTCACAGACTAAAGGCCCTGCCAAAATGGGCAACTACATCTATTTATTTTTTGGTGGAACTGGGGATTGAACTCAGGGCATGGTGCATGGGAGGCAAGCACTCTCCAACTGAGCCTTATCCCCAGCCCTAGCAACTGCATTACTTAGTTTAAACAAAAATTTAATGCTTAGCCAGGTCAGTAGCACAGCAATAAAGAATAAAATTAAAATTAAAAAAATAAAAGAATGGAATAAAAATAAAAATATTCCATAAAAATAAAAAATGGAATAATGGTTCGTTGAAAAAAAATCTGTCCGTCCATTCCCCCCCGCGTTTCAGCTCTGGTTTTCCTCTTGACTTTCTTGGCCAGCAACCCCGGCGGTGTCCCAAGCCTGGGGCTGGGGCCTCGGTCCCGCGGAAGCGCCCCGCCCGTAGGTAAAGCCGCGCGGCGGGACTACAACTCCCGGCTTGCACCGCGCTCGCGCCCGGAAGCCCTGGCCGCGGCTCCGAGGGTGAGGTGGCGGCGGGGGCGGCGGGCAGCGGCGCGGAGCCGAGCGGAGCCAGCGCGTGGAGCGGCCGGCCGCAGCGGGGGAGTCCCGCGGGTCTCGGGTGCGTGAGCTCTAGCGCGTGCAGCCCGAGCCCGGCAGGGGAGGGGACGGGCCCGAGGGGCTCCCGGGGCGCGAGGGCGGTGCGGGGCTGGGGGTGCTGGCAGCTGGTGGGTGTGGCGCCCGGGCGGGGCCGTCCCTCGCCCCCCGGTGGCCCCGCGCGGGCTGCGGGTCCCGCGGCGGGCGGGGACCTCCGGGGAGCCGCGGGAAGGGCCTCGTGGCGACCCGCGTCCCCGTCTGAGCCCGCGGGGGGCGCGGGCTTTTGTGTCCCTCGAGGACCCGCCGCGGCCTTGGAGCCCGCGAGGCTCGGACTTCTCCAGCAAAGGGCTGGTCCTGAGCCCGGGCGAGGGACTGCCCAGGGGCTGGGAGGCGCTCGGAAAGGATGCGCAGAGGGCAGAGAGGCAGGGTCCTGGGTTGTGATTTGGGGATGATAGTGGTCTCAGCCCCGGGACTGACGGTCCTGTGACTCCTCATTCCTCCCTCCACACTGATTTGCAGAGTGTGGTCTGTTTCTTCTTAGTTTTGACAGGAGGTAATGGGACGTGTGCCCCTGCATCCTGGGGTTCTTGAGACGGTAGGCGACCTGGTGGTACATTGTTACCGAACTGTTTATAGGAAGAATCCTTCCCCGGTGGGCAGAATCAGACTTGTTTTTCCTCCTGTGTTGGGGATTGAGCCGAGGGCCTGGTTCATGCTAGGTAATTGCAGTCAAAGCAACTGCTCTACCTTTGAGTTACACCCTCAGGCTCCCCCACTTCTTCTTTTTTTTCTTTGAGACAGGGGTTTACTAAGTTTCCCAGGTTGGTTTCGACCTTGCCAGCCAGGCAAAGACAACGTTGTTGTCCTTGGAACATGTTCAAAAACAGGAAGAATGTGGTTTTGGGAATTCTGAAATAAGATAATTTTACAGATAAATTCTAGGTATTTAACATCTGTGTTATTGAGACAGTTTAAGAAGAGAGAAAAATTACAAAGAGATTTGAGTTTTGAATAAAAAAAGATTTGTGTGGTACAGGTAAAATGGCTTCAAATCAGATGTGAAATAAAAAGCTACTTGTATAAGTGTTGGATATTAAGGTATTAAATTAAAACATACAGTACTGTAAAAACGGTCAATTCAACTAACCTTTTAACACTTTCCTACCTACCTCTTAAACTTTGAGTATGCATATTTTTTCAYTTTGCAAACATAAAATCTGAAGTCCAGGGAGTGAGGAAGTTGCCTATCCAGTGCCCTTCTCATTTAATGTGTAAGAGAGTCACTCTTACCGTCAAGGTGAGCTTTTTCCCATCCTGCATGTGCACCTGTGCATCTTAGGTGTGATAATTGTAATTGCTGTGTTTTACTCAGCTTGGGATAGTTTCTAAGCCTTTTCATTTAAACAACATCACATAGAATGTAGAGTCATAGGGCTAGGTTGTGGCTCAGTGGTAGAGCTCTTGCCTAGCATGCATAAGGCACTGGGTTTGATTCCCGGCACCACATAAAGATAAAAACAAGTAAAATAAAGGTATTGTGTCCATCTACAACTAAAAAAAATTTTAAAAAAATGTAGAGTCAGTTCTGGTTTGAATATGCACTACTTTTCTTRAGAGATTACTTTCTAAGTGGTTTATGGTGGCATATGCCTGTAATCCCAGCTACTTGGGAGGCTGAGGCAAGATGATCACAAGTTCAAGGCCAGCTTTGGCAATCTAGTGAGACCCTGTGTCAAAATAAAAAATCAAAGCTGAGTGTAGTGGTGCATGTTTGTAATCCCAGTAGTCTCAGTGGCTCAGGAGGCTGAGGCAAGAGTATTGTGAGTTCAAAGCCAGCCTCAGCAACTTAGTGAGGCCCTAAGTAACTCAGTGAGACCTTGTCTCTAAATAAAAGTACAAAAAAAAAAAAAAAAAAAAAAGAGAGAGAGAAAGGGGGCTGGGGATGTGGCTCAATGGTTAAGAGCACTTGGATTCAATCCCTGGTACATAAAATAAAATAAAATGAAAGGATTGGTGATAGAGAGAGAGATCTCTATTATCTTTCTTATCTGTAAACTGTTGGGGAGAATTGAGTGATATTCGTGCAAAGTACCTACCACAGTGCCTGGAACCTTGTACAAAATATAGTGTTGTGCAAAATCATCCATTCAAAACATCTTCATTGGGCTGGGGGTGTAAGTCAGTGGTGGAGCACTTACCTACCATTCACAAAACCCTGGTTGACTTCTCAGCATTGCAGAAACAAGCAGCAGGAAATCTTTATTGCTCATTCTAATTATTCTGCATAGTTCTGGATTAGAGCTGTGGTCTTATGAAAGAAAGCCACTGCTCTCTTGGAGCTTTGATGAAAGGTAACCAATCACATCAGATGATTATGTTGGGAGAAATGCTGTAAAGGAAAGAAACAGAAGCAGAAGCTGAGGAGTACCACTTTTTGGTAGGGTGGTCAGGGCATGCCACTTGAGGTAACATTTGAGGATGAACCAAGAAAAGGAAAGGATTCAGCCATCATAAGGAAAAGCATGTATGGCAGCACAAGAGCCAACAGGGCCCAAGGCATGAGAGGTCTTAGCAAGTTAAGGCACTCGTGTGGGGCACCTCGGGTGGGTCCTTAGGTCGGGAAGGTAGGTGGCAAGGAATGTGGCCTGACCAAGGACTAGGGAACACCTGGCTGCCCAGGGGGCGTCTATTCATGTCATGGGAGGCTGCTCATCTCTGTTGATGCCAATAGGGACAGAACTCCAGCTTCTAAGAATTGAGGGGAAAGGGGTAGAATTGTGTGTGCTGTGTGCTTGCGGGTATGTGTGTGAGGGGAGGGGCTCTGCTGGGATGTGGGCAGGGTATGGATTCTGCAAGGTACAAAAGGAATTGGGAAACAGGAGGGAGGCTTCGCTCTCTGCTGGGTTGTGCCTTTTGACTTTTCTACCATATTCATATATTCCAAATTGAAAATTAATAAAACAAATTCCGAGCTCTCCAGCTGTCTACTCAGGCAGTCCCCTCTGTCATTTGGAGCCTTCTCCCACCAACCTATCCCTTAGCCATCCTACTTTTCTGTAAGAAAAGAGTCTGTTTTGATGTGTGTCTTGGGGAGACATCAAAGGGTTGTAAGCAGAAGCTGGCTTCTGTTTTCACATGTGCTTGAGGCTCCTGCAGAGAGTGACTTGGGGCTGGGGTAGATGGAGCTGGTGAAACCTCACTGGAGGCCGTTTGGGTCAGTTGGCAGGTGGGTGATGCTGGCGGTTTATCTTAGGGGAGTGGCAGTGATGGGGCAGAGTTGATGGGGATGAGTTTTGGAGGTGAAAGGACTGGGCTGGATGAGGAAGCTGTGAGAAAAGGAGAAATAAAGGGTTAAGTCCCAATTCCCTTGGTAGGAGGAATGGCGGAACCATTTACTGAGGTGGAGGCTCCAGGGAAGGGGTGGATTTGGAGGGAGAAAGGAAGAATCCTGTTTTAGCTCTGTGGAGGGATATCAGGTGGTCAGTAGGAACCCTGGAGGGTCTGAGGTGGCACCATAAACCTGGGGATCATTGGCATAAAGCTGTGGTACTGGCTGAAGGAATGTGGCCTGACCAAGGACTAGGGATGTTGATGTTGGAAGTTTAAAAAGAGAAGTGTGAAATTGCCACCTCCGAGGTGAGGAAACACTTGCTAGGGAAATGCAGCAGGCTTGCCGGGCAGTGTTGCAGCCCTTTGAGGTTTGCGGGTTTGAATCTGAGACGGAAACCTGTTTGTGATTTTTCTCTGACAAAACTCAGCTTCATGGGTGCAAGGCAGGCGGACCAGGCTGGGAGAAGACCAGGCCAGGAGAAGACTTGGCCAGCAGGAGATGGCAACCTCTGAGCTGCTGAGGAGTTGAGGCCAAGGCAGATGTGGCAGACATGGGGAGGACACTGAGGTCGTGAATTGGGAGCCTGCTTGGAGTAAAATAACTGCTGGAGCATGGGGTGTTGGGCAGGCAATCTGGAGACAAGATATCTGAAATGCAGTTTGGGAGCTGATGACCAGGGTTACTTTTGCCCACAGAGTGGGTTTAATCAGGAGGTATCCACTGCCTGCTGGAATGCTCTGAAGCAGTGGGAGGAAGGTATGTGAAACTGGAGCTGTCCACATTAGAAAGGCAGTGCTTGGGCCATCAGTTGATGGTATCTCACAGGATATTCTGTGAGATATCTGTGAGATAGATATAGCCCCAGGATAGACCTCTGAGTATCTTTACTGCCTAGTAAAGACTGGGACATGAATTTCCAAGGAGGTAGGGTCCCCCCCCCTTCCCCCACATTGGGGATGGAACCCTGGGCCTCACATGATACACAAGCACACTGTCACTGAGCTACATCCCCAACCGTTTTTATTTTATTTTATTTTTTGAGGGTAGTGGGGATTGAACTCAGGGGCACTGGACAACTGAGCCACATCCCCAGCCCTATTTTTTGTATTTTATTTAGAGACAAGGTCTCACTGAGTTGCTTAGTGCATTGGCCTCACTTTTGCTAAGACTGGCTTTGAACTCTCGATCCTCCTGCCTCAGCCTCCCAAGCTGCTGAGATTACAGGCATGCTCCACTGCTCCTGGCCCTTTTTATTTTATTTTGAAATAGGGTCTCACTAAGTTGCCCGGGCTGATCCTCCTGCTTCAGCCTTCTGGGAGCTGGGATTATAGGTGTGTGCTTACCACACTGGGCTTAGAAGTGGAATTTTAGGAATAATAATTTAGTGATTGGCTGTACCCAAAAGCAATGCTGTTGCTGAGAATTGAATCTAGAACCTCACACATGCTAGGCAGATGCTGTTCCACTGAGCTAATTCCCAACCCTGAAGTCATCAGTGGCATTGATTACACAATATTAATATTGTGTTCCCATTCTGGAAAGTGCCATTTTTATTCTTTTTTTTTTTTTTTTGGTGGTGCTGGGGATTGAACCCAGTGCCTCATACATGCCAGGCAAGTGCTCTGCTACTGAGCCATGTTTCCAGCCAAAAATACCATTTTTTTAATAGTTGGTCTTCTAGGACAAAAAATAAA